AGAAGGGGGAGATAAGGACGATAGATGTTTGATAGGAAAGAAGAAGGAGAGATAAGGACGATAGATGTTTGATAGGAAAGAAGGGGGAGATAAGGACGATAGATGTTTGATAGGAAAGAAGAAGGAGAGATAAGGACGATAGATGTTTGATAGGAAAGAAGGGGGAGATAAGGACGATAGATGTTTGATAGGAAAGAAGAAGGCAGCAAACCACACCAGAGCACCCGCCAAACACCCACAAAGCAAAATTGTTGCCAGCTGATGTCATGATTAATTGAGTAATCGACTACACATCCTCGAGAGGAATTTGTCTATGGCAATTGATTTTGACATCAGCATGACTTAGATTTATGTATAAAAGAGAAGAAGCAGCAGCAGCAGCACATACCTGGTTCAGTGAGCCTCATGATATCATCTTTCAAGTTGGTCCCGCCTGTGGTGACCATGCACCGGCAGCCTGTGTGTTTGCTCAGCTCAATGCAGATCTGGCTTGTCTGCAGGGCCAACTCGCGAGTAGGTACTATGATCAGCGCTGGAGGGGACAAACAAAAAACAATTAAAAAAAAATTTTTTTTGTGTAAAAATAAAATTTTGCCACTCCTAGAGTGGGTTCAAATCTAAGTTAGTTTCAGTAGAAGGTTTTACGGCTCCCGGAAACAGCGGGTTACAAGAGAGTGACAAACATACAAAAGAAGTAGGGAAATGATAGTAGGATTAGGAAAGAAAAAGCAGCAGTTCCCTGTTGTAGATCAGGCACTATCATGAGCATGACATGGATCAGCCCATTTACAATTTTACTGTGCATGAACGAGAAATGTCCCCCATTTGGGAATGGCCTTAAGGCACTTCAGTCAGTGGCACCGCCCCGGGGGGTATTCAAATCTAACACTTTCCCCCACAGGGAAAAAGATCAAGAGGAAGACCACATGTTTTTTAAAATAGTTTTAGTAAATGTTTACAATATAAACAAGAAGGGGAGATAAAGATGATAGATGTTTCAAAAGAAAGAAGGAGCAAACCACACCAGAGCACCCGCCAACCAACCACCCACCCCCCCCTCCTCTCAGGGGGAAAACAAAGCAGAAAGAACAAGACAAAAAAACAAACAACAACAAAAAAAAACCGCGGAACCAAACAAGACATGGAAGATAAAAAAGACCGATAAGTCTGAGTAACACAAAAGCAAAAAACAAAAAAACAACGAAAAACAGACTTCAAAACGATAGTCTGAGCAACACACACAAAAAACAAACAGACTTCAAACTGATAGTCAGATTAACACAACAACAACAACAAAAAGACTTCAAACCGATAGATTAACACAACGAAAAAAAAAAGACTTCAAACCGATAGTCGAGTAACACAATGGAAAAAAAAAGAAGACTTCAAACCGATAGATTAACACAACGAAAAAAAAAAGACTTCAAACCGATAGTCTGAGTAACACAATGGAAAAAAAAAGAAGACTTCAAACCTCGAACGGCACTCACCTTGAACCATGTTTCTGGTCGTGTCCACTTTCTCTAAGCAAGGAATGGCGTATGCTCCAGTCTTCCCCGTCCCGTTCTTCGCCCGGGCCAAAATGTCGCGGCCGGTGAGGGCGATGGGGATGCTGGCTTCCTGAATGGGCGATGGCTTCTCCCAGCCCTTCTCAAAGATGCCCATGAGCAAGTTCCGCTCCAGGCAGAAGTCTTCAAACTCATTGCCTTTGGTATTTGTCACGTCCTTGGGGGAGAAGAGAAATGGTTTTATCATCAATAATATCAATTCAACCACCCTCCCAACAAATATCATCATCATCATCCAGTGCCAGATCTGTGACAGACATCAGTGATCATGGTTCTCCATTCGTTCCTTTGCTCAGATGCTCTAAAAAAAGGTACGTTTCCCTGATCTTTCCCTGTTGCCCATTTGTTTAGGATCCCTAAGTATGTTGTTCTAGGCCTACCCCCGCCTTTGTTTACTATCAATTATGCCAGTGTGAGCTAGATGTTCAAGACTCTTATGTCTATTCAAGTGTCCCAAAAACTGCACTTGTCGTTTCCTGATTGTTTTTAACATTGAGCGTCCCACGTGGGCTGCATCAAGCACTACCTCATTTGATTTCTTTTCCTTCCACGATATATCTTAGCAGTATAAGAAACCACATTTCTATTGCTTGTGTTTTATCTTCACTGTCTTTAGTGATTGTCCAGCATTCACAGCCATATATATATAGAGAGAAAAAAATATACAAAAGTCATTATTATTTTTAAAAACTATCTTACCGATGTCCTGATTCTTCTGTCTGGTGAGGGAACTCTCAACTTGGATTTCCATCCCTGGTCACTGGGGAAGACAAATTGTTCAGACATTTTGAAACTTTAAATTAAAAAATCCACTGTTCATTTAATTTTGTCTAAAACACAATTTTCGTTTACATTTTTGTATTATATATATAAAGTATTTTTGTTTTTTTGTTTTAGTAGAGGTTTTACGGCGCTCGCAACAGCATCAGGTCATGTGAGTGCCAGAAGCTTAGAGATGCTACAAGAGAGTAACAAACATAAAAAAGAAAAAGGGGTGATATGGACGATAGATGTTTAATAGGAAAGAATCTAAGCTAACCACACCAGAGCACCCGTCAACCACCCACTTATATTAAGCGTTATGACATGTACAACGATTGAAATATATTGTAACAACGTCAGAAATCTTTACTTCAAGATTTGTCAGGAAAATCAGCAGCAACTGTCAAAGACTGAGGTCAGCCTTCGAGCATTTGAATCATTGGCACTTACTCGGGATTAGTTTGCAATAAAAAAATTTTAAAAGGCACATCCACATCATAGTGCAGTGGGTGAAAACCAGTTGGGTTGAGAGATCTGTGGAAAAGTTTTGTTGTAGTACGAATTTTACTCAACTTGCAACACAATTAGGAATTATTTGATCAGTTTTAGTTTTAGTAAGATGAGTTTTACTGTGACAGCACTTGCAACACAATAAGGTCATATAAGTGCCGAAGATTATAGGTGTAACAAGAGAGTAACAAACACAAAAAAGAAGGAGGAGGGATTAATTAACAAACACAAAAAAGAAGGAGGGGAGGAGAGATAAGGACGATAGACGTTTGATAGGAAAGAAGGAGCAAACCACACCAGAGCACCCACCAACCAGCCATATTATTATTATTAGGTCAATAATTAAGTTCTGAAAATCATGAAAAACAAGGAAGTAACATACACACAAAACAAAAGGGAGGAGAGCGAGATCAAGACGACAGATTTTTTTAGATTGAGGAAAGAAGGAGTAAACAACACCAGAGCACCCGCCAACCAACAACCAAGAACGACAGAAAAATGGAAAGAGGTAAGAAGAACACAGCACACTGGAGTCCTACTACTACTACTACACCGATCCAGAAAGCACTCACTTGGGATTGTCTGTTTGTCTGTTCTCGTCTTTCAAAGCCATTGTCTTTGTCTGTGATGGGGGGGAGGGGGGGAAACTTGCTCGCTCGCTCAAAACGTGCAGTCAACACAACGAAAACTTGAGACCGTGGTCACAACGCTGCGTCTTGAACAGCTCCAAGAATGCAGAACAATACAATAAAATCCAGCCAACAGACGTGTCCAGTCCAGTTATATATGTACAGCAAAGTAGGTAACAAGAATCAAATTAGAAATAACACTGGCCCTCCTGACTACTTTCTTCGTCAAAAGCCGAACAATTGTTTGTGTCTGGGCCACAACAGTCAGTCACTGCGCACAAGTTCGGAAGCACTCAGTACGCCCCAAAGTTTCTCAGAGTGTAAAAAAAAAAACAACAACAATAAAATCTCTATTTATTTTTTGTCCAAATGTAGTCCTTTCTCTCAGACTCGGAGAAACATTGCAACGAATATACACACGAATCACACCAACTTCAACACATGATCCTCTCGGACAGCTCCAATTTCTCACAAGTACAGTAATTAGTCTGAAAGGACAACTCTTTCAAAGTTGAAACGAAAACACCACTCTTCCGTCGATTCCTTTTACACTCAGCAAAGAAAGTAGAAAAATCTGGGGAAACAAGACAAGAAAGGTTACATTACATTACACATCACAAGCAAACTTACAAACTGCCGGGTGCGAAACGAAAAAGAAAAATTTGCAAAGAACGACCCATGAAGTACTAATGGAAAGCAAAGAGGCAGTGCTATATGAATTACTTTAAAAAATTGGTTTTTTGTTTTAGTAAGTGTTTTACGGCACTTTTGCAACACAATAAGGTCATATATAAGAGCCGAAGAATAGAGGTGTTACAAGAGAGTAACAAACACAAAAAAGAAGAAGGGGAGATAAAGGCAATAGATGTTTGATATGACAGAAGAAGTAGACCACACAAGAGCACCCGCAAACCACTCACAGATGGCATCCTCAATGTCAGCACCTACAAATTTCCACAGAGGAAAGACAACTGAAAACAAGATAGGCAGGTTTAGTACTAAAGAAAGATACAGTCAGACTGTATTGCTATAATATAATCTTACCTCGATCAGTGCAGGGCATTACATACGAACTGAGGGAAACAGCCTGAATTTGGATTGTGAGAGGGTGGAGTCAATACATCACAAAAGTGGGACTTGGAAGTTTAACATGACCAGCTTGTAACTATGGAGCACAAACCCAAAGTATCAAAAGTGAAACTTTTAACTTCATTTTACTGTTCGCAGTTAGGGGTGAAATCCATGTTTTAGTTTAAGTAGAGGTTTTAGTTCAAGTAGAGGTTTTACTTCCATTCACACTTTGGCCTTCTTCTTTGCTTTCAATGAGATTTCCTATGACAGAAAGCATTCAAAAGCTACAAGTGACATTTTCCCCCTTTGCATATAATTAGCACTCTCGTTTGAATGAGTGCTGAAATATTTCCCGACCCAGCATAAAATTGTAGAGGCTTTCTAGATCTGGATTGACTTAGATCTGCCAGTGTGTGTCTAATTATCACCCAAGGTTTAGGTTGGCCTTCAGCCTGTATTATTACATCTTGCAAAATTAGAATCTATATCTAGATAGATACTAGGAAAGATGAGAAGTGACCCGACCTGGGTGGGAATACTCAATTCCTAAACTCTATTTTTTTCTCTCACCTTTCCTCAAATTTTCACCTAAGCTAAGGTAGGCCTACAATTTAAATACAGAAGTACTTCCGTAAGGAGCGACCACCACAACAAACACAATAAAGAAGAGACCTAACCCAAACCCTACCCCTCTGTTCTACTCTGTCTGTTAGTGGTCGCTCATTATGGAAGTCCTCGCAAATACTCATTCAGTTTAGATCTAGAATCTAGGCCCACACCAGTGCTACTATCTGTCCCCGTGATTTTATGCACCCCGCATAATTTAGCAAAATTTGATCATTTTTTGTATTTCTGATTATTTTCCTTTATCATTTTAAAATTAACCGAATCGCATAATTTCAAATTTTTGGGCTCAGTTGCATAATTTCCTAATTTTTCTTGCATAAATCAACGAGGACAGCACTATGGTGGGGTGGAGAACACCCCCCCCCCCCAACCAAAACGGAATAAGAATAGAATCTAGATCTAGATTTAGTAGGGGCCTAGATCTAGAAACTTCTGGAGAAAATCCATCCATGACACTAGGCAAAGTCCTTCAGGCTATTGGACATGGTCTTGGTGCCCTTAGTGTTATCTGTTGTCAGAGCTGGTTGTCCGGTACTTGTACTTACGTTACAATTTTCGGTACTTTTACTGTACTCTGCTACATTTTGAGAACCAGCACTTTTACTGTACTCCGATACTTTTTATAAAAGTACTTTTGAGTACTTTTCAAGTACATTTTGAGTACTTTTGAAGCTTAATGAAAGAATAAGTGCCGACATTTCCAATCATAATTTACGGAACAAACACCTGGGCAGGCACAGCCGATCAACCAAGAGTTAAAAGTTGAGATTAAAGAATTGCCCGTCGCGTCAAAGATCAGCCACTCTTGTGAAAGTGATCACATGCGCTGTAAAACTCCATGAAACGGTACAATGATCCCCAGCGGGATCACACCGAGGTGTGAACTGACCGATGGGCGTTTCTTTTCCCCAAACATTGCACTCGCTTCTGAGCTCGCCACCTGAACTTTCATCCCTCGCTGGGTGGGTTGAGCCTACAAGTTTGCTCCAGGCAGGATCACATCGAACTGTGAACTCTTCCCTGACCATTGAAGTTGAAGGCAGTTTTTCTCTATTCCCGAAACTGCGAGACAGCCTGAATTTTAATTATTGTGGTCACAGCGTAATGGTACGTAACAACAAAGGCGGGGGGACTCAATCAGAGATGGAAGGCTACAATTTTTGGACAGGTAAAGGGGAGAGGCAACTGGATAAACGTAGATAAAGACCTCGAGACGATATGCTAATGAGTGTACGGTATAATATTATGGCTTGCCTCATGCCACCATGCTACTGTGATTGGTCATCAAGGATGACCACTCTTTGCTTGCCATATGTCATAAACCTACTCAGGGTCACGTCAGTCCTTGGGTCACTGTAGATTCTTCCTTAGCTTCGAAGGGCTAAGATCCCATTTATTTCCCTTGCTCCCGGGCACTGGGATCTTTGGCGGAGACTACTGTAGTAGAGAATTTTTGGTTACACTACACTTACTAGACTCTAGGAAATTACATGACATAGGCCTATTTAGGTTTGCCGTGGGCGCCGTGGACTACACAGTGTGACCAAAATCTGTCTTACCACTATTATAATCAATTGAAACTGAAACTGAGTTCTTAATGTATATCAATCTAACAATTTTTTAGGCTACCTAAATTTCTTTTTTCCTTTTTTTGTGGTTTGTGATTAAGGCTACCTTGATTCCTTGAGGATTTGTTAAAGAAGACAAGAATTCAATGCACTTTTTTTTGCTGGCCATTTTCATCAATTTTTTATTTTCTTAGATCAGCTTTGTCTCTACATTTTCCAATTTTGATACTTTTCCTACTTTCCGACCTCTAGGACTGACTTACATTTGATCATATTGTCTTGCACAAACAAATTCTATTCATAATATCACTTACTCACTAGTTGCGTCTGTTTGTTTGCTGGTTTTTGTTTTTGTTTCAATTTCATGGACAATTTCCACCTACGTTCAGCGCGTATATTCAAATGCTTTGTATACTGTTTACATTATTAATAATAAATGGCCGAATTTGTCAAATATACTAGATATGTTATTCAATATGATGTTTTGCATTAGCACTAAGTGTTTTAGCATAGAGTAGCAGAAAGTACTCAAAATGTACTCATAAGTACTTTTTTAAAAAGTACTTACAAGTACTCAAGTACATTTTACAGGAAAGTACTTTTACTGTACTTAAGTACATATTTTAGATTGTACTTAAATTTGTACTTAAGTACCTTTTAAAAAGTACTTAAACAGCTCTGTCTGTTGTCTTAGTTTAGTTTTAGTAGAGGTTTTACAGCGATCGCAACTGCATACGGTCACATGAGCGCCAGGAGATTAGAGGTGTTACAAGAGAGTAACAAACATAAAAAAGAAAAAGGGGAGATAAGGACGATAAATGTTTGATAGGAGAGAAGAAGCAAACCACACCAGAGCACCTGCTCTCAACCACCCACAATCTGTTGTCTTGTGCTGTGGTGTAGTGAAGGGACTCTACAACTAGAAGTGTAGACTAGACTCTAGTTGGCCAGAGTCGGGGCTGCTAGAATAGCTGTTGGTAGTGGCAAATATCTTTGACAAGTCTAAAAAAAGGCTACCTCTCTATTCTCACCCGGGGTGAGAATAGCAGTTGTAGGCCTCTCACCCGGGGCGAGAAGGCTAGCTCTAAATGGCTATTCTCACCAGGTGTGTGCTCACCACTTGGTGCATCGGCTCAGGCCGATCACTCCGACTCCAGGTGAGAGGGCAAACCTTTTGGCTATTCTCACCCGCTGTGCGCTCACCATGATACCAGTGTAGTAAACACACGTTCCAGTGCTGAGATAGAGAGAGAGAGAGAGAGAGAGAGAGAGAGAGAGAGAGAAAGAGAGAGAGATAGAGGGAGGGAGAGAGAGAGAGGAGTAGTGAGAACTTCTGGGCACAACAAAGTGGGAGACCAGCTTAGTTCGGCTCAATTTCAATTCGAAAAGTGAAATTTTTTATAGCATAGCCGTAGCATCTTTGTAGACGGCCAAATTAGTTTACTTTGGGTATTTTTTTTACTTTCCCTCCCGTCTCACACTCAGTCAGCTACCAGTTTATTTTCTACTAACTATTGATGCGCTGAACACGAATATCAACTTCATTTCCGTCGCAAATTAATGGTTTTTGAAATATTTGATTGTTTTTAACCGAGATAGACAGGCTTTGGCTTTGGACCAATCGGGGGCTTCCAGGGGGGCCTGCCCCACTGGGGTAAAAGAAAATCTGGGGGGTTACAGGGGGGCATGCCCCCCTGTTTTTACACCCATAATTTGATATTTTACAGTTAGATTTGAAATTGTCTTGAAAATAATTGATTTGCGACAGTTTTAGTGGCTTTATGTGTGATCTGCACAGCAAACAGTACAGCAGTTTGACCCCTGAAACAGTGCATCTGTGTGCGGGAGTGAAAGTAAAAATTTACCTTACTTTGTGCTATAACATCATTTTTTTCTTTGTTGGGCTATTGTTAATTTAATCGGAAGGACTTCCGTAACCAGCGACCACCCCATCAAACACAATAAAGAAGAGGCATAGACCTAAGATCTAGACCTGTCCTAACCCTACCTTGGGCCCCAAGCCCAAGCCCTCAATCTTGCTCTGTCTCATAGTGGTCGCTCGTTACGGAAGTCCTCCCATTTAATCATCTCTAGATCTAGATCTAGATCTACACCAAAAAGACAGTAGGCCTATAATTTAAAAAAATAAGAAAACAGGTCTTGCTTCACATTGGCTGAGCCAACGCTGGCAAGTCTCATCTGGGGTGAGAAGTCGATCGAATATTTATTCTTCCCTAGGGAAGTTTAATAGCCACTTCCCTAAAAAAAAAGTGTTCAAGAAAATAATCCGACCCAAGCCCAAACCTAGATCAGATATCTAGATCTAGATCTAGTAGCCCTCTGATTAACTCTGTGTAACTGAATTCCCCGAGGTCTGAGTGTCTGAGGACTTCGATTTTAGTGGACAGCTGATGGCACTGCCTGACTGCTGATCTGATGGTAAACACAAGTTTTACCCTGCTTCAATCTGTAAGAGCTTTCTTCATTGTTCAAAATGTTTACTAAACCTACGGCTGACTACATTGCAAATTAGCTCTAAGTGTTTCAAAGTAATAAAGAGGACTAAGACCGAGTACAAAGACAAATGAATAAGACGGAAATTCAAATCTGCCAGTCGACCAACACAAAAGAGGCGGTAGCTGGAGAGATCTCTTGGTGATTGGAACCACGAATTTCTAACAAAACAACAAAGTAAGCAGAAGCATTTTAGGTAAAATATATACTAAATATTAAAGAAAAATCTGTGAAGATGCAAGAAATAAAACTTACATCCTCATACAGCAATCTAAAAGAAGTTGATGTTGAAGATTCGGGATACACCCACTTATTTACCTTTGATATTCACCAATATGGCCGAAAGTTAGGGTCAACAAGACAGCATTGCCAGATTTTCAAACGAGCCTCGGGGTAGCCTTTGTAAGATATACACAAATGAAGAGAGAAATCTAACGGTCTGTGTTTGTATGTGTGTTTGAGAGAGAGAAAGAGAGAGAAAGAGAGAGATAGAGAAAGGGAGTGAGTGAGTGAGATAGAAGAGAAGAGAGAGAGAGAGAGTTTGCTAGCGTTTGAAAAGTTGATTCTATGTAGGCCAAGCTGACAGCTGACTTTCACTCTCTCTCTGCTTATGGTGTTTGTGTTTGTGTGTGTGTGTGTGTGTGTTTGTGTGTGTGTGTATGTGTGTGTGTGTGTGTGTGTGTGTGTGTGTGTGTGTGTGTGTGTGTGTGTGGTGTATGAGAGAAAGAAAGAGAGAGAGATATAGAAGTATTATTATAATGAGGAGGGGGAAATTCGAAGAAAGACCATGTGTGTTTGTGGTTGTGTCGACACACGAGTGTGTTTATGTCTGCCTGCACGCATGTGTGTGTGTTTCTCTAAGACAGTCAGATGAGAGTGTGAGAGAGAAAGAGGGCTTAAAAAGTGAATGAACATGAAAGGTTTAGGCTTCGGCCTACCATGAAGAAATCTACAGTAAGTTCTGGCAAACTGGCAAATCGGTCTCGAAAAGCCCCACGAGAACCTCCATTTGGCTACATGCAAATTATAAAGGTCATATCATGCACTCGACCGTTTACAAAGAGACGTTCCGACTTCGGCCATTTTACTATTGGGCTAGGCTACCATACAATGTACTTCATTGAATCAGTTGTCTTTCTTACGGATCATTGTGCGTTTTGAAAAGTAAACAGTGTTTAGCACTGTCAGGTAAGGTTTTTCTGGTGCAGTAAAGCATTTTGTTAAGCGTTGTTTGGCATACTTCATCCTTGTTCATTTTGGAAGCCCACCCTACCTCCCTTATTCAAACCCCAAGAGCAAGATGGTACATTCCTCGTTTTTCTTTTTGAAGTAGAAAAAAATGGTTCCGTCCGGTTTCTTCATCACTGGAGACAGGGTGATTGGGTAGACTAACTGATCTTTAAACTCTACTTCATATTTTTAGTGTGTGTCTTGTTGATCCAGCATTATTTTCCACAAAAACTACCGTGGTTATTTAAATAGAACTTTCTTTTGCATAATTTATTTTCCGGTTCTTAATTTCAGGATCATTTCAATGGCAGCCATGTTAATAGGCTGTGACCCCTTTTCTCTCAGTTTTCCGGGGGTACACCCCGTTGGATATTATGGTCGAACCTGTCATCCCCATAGGTCATACCCATTCCCCCACAAATCGTCGTTTGCTGTGGTGACGATTTGATGTGAAGGGGTGTCTGATGTCTGTCCCTGGGAACGGCCTCGTTGATATTGAGCGATAGGGGTGAGGGGTTAAATGGGGACAGCGAAGTTCACCAAGGGACACCTCGTCTTTGCTTCATCATAATAAAGTCAATGGTTTAGCCTACGTATGTATATATATATTTATTCTCTATAGATTTAGATTGTGCACCACGTAGTTTCCTGATGATTTTAGATCTAGAAGATCTACCATGGACAAGAGTCAAGAGATTATAAACATGAAATAATAATCCTGCCTAAAATCCTGCACTTTTTAAAAATCATCTTGTCTTTATTTATACTAGAATCTAGATTAGATCTAGATTTATTTATTTTATTGTTTTATAATTGTCATTGCTTTCAGCCTTTCTTTAAATTTCGAGTAGCCTACAACAGTGTTTACATTTCTTTCGCCATCTCGTGCGAGACGTGCAAGGATTACAAAGGAGTAGATCTAGATTTCTAGATCTATTTATTTGTTTTTTGAGATTTCAAAGAAAGTGACACGCTCAGCTCAAAATATAAAATTATGTTAAGGCCCTGCTGAAGGCAAGAATGCCAGATTTGAATCATTTGCTTTTAAAAAAAGTACATGTATGGTCTATTTTATGATCTAATTGATTGAATTTTTCTTTCAATGCACGGGCCTGACCACACACCCCACCTCCAAACAAAACAACAACAAAAAAACAACCCCAAACAAACCAAACCTGCAACCTACCACCCCCCCCT